AATCTTAATTAAAATCTATATATATAAAATTAAATTTTATAGTGTAATGAAATATCAATCTTATGATTTTAATAAATGCTATTTTGTATGAAAAATTAGCATTTAAAGGTTTTGTGAAACACTTAATAAACATAAGGCTATAAGCTGGCTTGCAGGCAAGAAATAACTTGGAAATTAAGAAAGAAATGGCTGACGAGCTAAGGTTGCCAAGGTTTTGACCCTAAGCAAAACACAACTCTGGGTAAGATTGTGGACATCCCATTGTGCAACACCCAAGTGCACCAATCTTACCAGGGGCTGGGCCTACAGGTGGCCACTGCTTCACACATCTGTGGCTGGCCAGCCATCATCATTATCCAGGTGGCAAGCAAAAAATTGACTTGGGAATTAAGAAAGAAAATGGCTGAAGAGCCAAGATGGCAGAGGTGGCAACTGTTAACAGAACACCATGTAAGGTGCCTCACTTGATCCCCTGGCCCAGGAGGAAGATGTGGAGGCTGAAATTAAAAACAAAACAAAACAAAAACAAAAAACAATCAAACAAAACCACAACAATAAGAACCTTGATCACAGAAAACAACAGCAACAAAAGACTTTATCATCTGTCTTCTTGAACAAAAGCAAAAGATGATTGTCTCCAATATTGATAACCCTCAAGTGAGAAATTCAAGCCAGCAAGTAACTACTGCCTTTGCTGTACAGAAGCCAAAAAGATCTACCTTAAAACACAAGTATAATCATGTGAACAGAGCAACAGAGACAGGAAAGGGAATTAATCTGAACCAGTGTAATTGAAATAGTGACCCTCTCCCATGAGCTTGAAACTGTGTTCACCTCCTATGAACCTGGAGCTGTGTTCCTGTCCTGTGAACCTGGAACTTTTGTTGTCTCTCATGAACCTGGAGCTGTGTTTCCTTCCATCAGCCTGGAATGGTGGCTGTCTCCCATGAGACTGGAACTTTGATTGTTTCCCATAAGCCTGGAGCTGTGTTCCCCCTCTCACGAGCTGGAGTTGTGCCTGTCACCGGTGAACCAGGGCTGTTGTGCCCACTATGAGCACAGGACTGTCATTGCCATCCATGAAAATGGAGCTGTGATTCCCATCCTGTGAATCTGTACCTGAGCTTCCCTCTTGGGAGCTTGAAGTGGGGGCCTCCTCCTATGAACTAGAGCTGTGGTCACCTCCTGTGAGCTAAAAGAGTGACTCTGTCCTATAAACCTGGAGCTGTGGTTCCCCTCCAGAGGGCTGGAGCTGTGGTATCCTCCCAAGTGTCAGAGTTGTGATCCCCTCATGTGAGTTGAAACTGTGGTCCCCTCCCATAAACCTGGAGCAGATCCTTCCCATGAACCTGGAGTTTTGGTCTTTTCCCATGAACCCAGAGCAGTGGTCCTCTCCTGAGAGCTAGACCTGTGATCCCCTCCTTCGAGCCAGAGTTGCCCCCTCCTCTGATGGAGCTGTGAACCCCTCCTACCAATGTGAACTTGTGGTCCCCTCTAATGAACCTGGAGTTTTGGTCCCTTCTTGTGAACCCAGAGCTGTGGTCCCTCCCATGAACCTGGAGTCATGGTCCTTTCCCATAAACCAGGAGCTATGGCACTCTTCTGTGAACCTGGAGCTGTGCTCCCAATCCATGAACCTGAAACCATGGTTCCTTCCTGTGAGCTGGAGCTGTAGTCCCTTCACATGAGCTTGAAGTTTTGGATCCCTACTGTGAGCCACATTTTCACATTTCTCTGGTAGTAGGCTGATGGTGGAGCAGAGTAAAGCATGGAGGACTTCCTGATGTTAGGTAACTGTTTCAGTCTTCTCCAAGTTACTAAATTTCCCCAGAGCCCCCTCCCCTGAAGTCCCAGGTTTTATATCACCGAAGTTTTGCCTCTTATGCTGGGGACAAGGTTGATGACCTCTGGTCTTGGGAGGACTGATTCTCTGTAATGGACCTCTGGTCTCCCCTGAGGCCCAGCTGTGGTCTTCACTCCACACATGGTCCTGGGTATCCAGGCCATGAGGTTGGACCTCTCCCATTACCAGGCACCAAGAGATTTTCCATTATTTTTCTATTATTCTTCTACAATCCCTGTATGCCTTCACCTATGCCCTAATTGAATGTCTCGAGATAAAATTCACAGTGTGGGAAAAAAGAAATGGAAAATACTGTAATAACTAATCTAATATCACCCTCAAACTAAAAATATGCAATTGCATCTTAGAATATAAATTGAAATTCTGTCTACTATAACTTTCAAATATTGTTTAATGACAAAACTATACTACCAAACTTCAACAATAATGTGAAATTTGTCATTGTTCCCATAATGTAAGTTTGCCATTCATGCCCTTTCCCAATTCTCTAACCTACAAAGTCTTTCAGTGTAAACAATGTTACTTCTTAAAGAAAGCAATGCTGATAAAATATTTTTAAAAATTGAAATGGCCACAGTTTATTAAAAAATTGTTTTGACACAAACAACACATGAAAATAATTATCATAGATATACATGTCACAATTAATGTGAAATCTGGATGCACCCAGAGTGGGGTAATTTAGGAAGTTTGTGTCTATCTCTTTAAGATGTGAGGAAGGCCTAATGGCCTAAAGAAACAAAAGGTGGTTTTCCATGTAGACTTAAAGTAGTATCTCTTTCTCTTTAGAAGAGCTAAGTAACTGAGGGGGAGATGCCCTTACATATGAACCCAGCAGAATTCCCTTTGTCTAAGTTATTAGCAATCCATAAATCAGAGACAACGGGAAGGACAGTAAATTGAAACATTTTAAGACTTCAGGTTAAGAATAAAGAATGAAAGCAACTATTCTGAACATGCTGCTTTGGATCCAGAATGAAAGAGTTACCTGATTTTGTTTCAGGTTGCTCTCTTGGAGGCAAGAGACTGACTTAGGCCATTGGGGGAGAAGGGCGTCAACTCTTGTGATGTGCTCCAGAAAAGCCATGTACTGTTGCATCTGACCCAGGTTCTGGAGTATGGATGAATCTAGGGAATTTTTTTTTCCTTTTTTCTTTTTCCAAGGTCTCGGTGTAATTTTAGAGCACACATCAAGTCAGCTTTCAACTAATACATGCCATAAGTGGGTCTCTGGCCACAAAAACAGAAGCAAAGGAACTGGAAGTAACCTGCAGGTCATGTTTAGCAGGTAAAGCTAAGAGCACCAACATTTCTTCAAGATAGATCTCAGCAGGAGCACCCAGAAACTTCAGCAGTGACTGAGACATAGCAGCTGTGTGGTCATCCTTGGGAGCTTGAGGAGTTATAAGTTTTAGTGACCTTGACTCAAGCCAAATCAAGATTTGCGGCTTCAGCTGCTGAAAGGTATTTTAGGGCTAGCTAGTACAATAAAGACATTTTAATGTAGGTTTAAGAGTGAGTTACAAGCAAAAGAGCTGCTCAAGGAAAAAAAGTGAGTTATATCCAAATGTAAGTAGTGCTTCCCAAAGGATAGTGGCCCTTATAAATGGAAATTTTTAATATAGCATGGACTCTCTGCTTTTCGAAGTTTTATCTTAAAACAGGCCATAATCTGTTTGCATATAGACTTTAGCTTGGTTGGGAGATAAAGAATGAAGGGCAAGGTCAGAGAAGGAGATGATAACAGGAAGACTCACTTCAGGATTTACCTTTAGTTCTGAAAAACTTCTGAAAATTTTAAATCAATTTCTTAACTTGAATATTTCCTTTAACTCACATGTAGTATTTTTGAAGAGTTATTATTACTGTAAGTTATCAAGCATATGATTTTTAGATGATTTTAAGTTTTAATTAATAGACTATTTGATGCTTTTAAATTTCACTGCCTAGGATTTCTAGTTAAGCATACAAAATAAGTCAATTAGAGAGAGTAAACATTCTCTATTGAATGTTAGATTTTTACATTTTTAAAGATGTGTAAGTTGAATTAACATACTATTCAAATTTACAACAAGCTGAAACCTTTCTCCATTCCTTAGATTAGCTATGGGAGAAGTGTTCAGAGAAAAAGAAAAAAAAAAACAATTGCTGCTAGCAAGTTTTAACACAGTGGTCAGAATCAAACATGCCTTCAGAGGTCTAAAAGCAACCAAAACCTAACTGAATGTTGAAACCAAAATACTTTGAAAGCAAACATACAAAATATACACCTTAATAAACCAAATACTTTGAAAGCAAACAAAAACCAAAAAGTTATCTACCAAATAGGATCCCTAAACAACCAGCTCAAAACAAACAAATTGACTGTTGACCTAACCAAGGGCAATCTGAGAGAGCAGCAGAAAAGAACTCACCTCAATTGACCTGAGGAATCAGCACCAGATGGCTGGATTCAGTGGGTCTGTACCAGTACTTTGCTCCCATCAGTTGACTCCTCTGATGGAATGTAGATCAGTTTTGGGGTCCCTCAATAAGGGAAATGAGAGACAAAATGTTTGGAGAGAGGGGCAAATATTGGGGTATGTGAGGGGAGGTTGGATTGTGGCTAGAATTAGGCAGTAGAGGTGGGTATATTTTGGAAGGGCTAGGGGGTATGAGGGAGTTAGCGGGAGAGATGAAATGTGAACAATTTAAAGAAGGGGACTGGGGGGGAAGCGAGTGTGAATGGAGGTTGGAGTGGGGTTAGGGGAAGGAGGCTGGGAAGGATGTATCATTTGGGAGAAGGTCCATCATCTGGTTCCAGGTTGGAGAGGGAGCCTGGTTGGTGGGGGGGGCACAGTTGGTGGAAGATTTTGTAGAAGAAATTGTTAACCGGAGAGGGAAGAACAGAGAGCAAGTTGGGAGCAAAGGTAGGAAAGGCCTGGACCTAAGGGACCTCAGACCTTTTGCTGTTTGGTTGGAGGAATTGGCAGCAGCCATGTGGGTAAAGCAGCATGGGAATGTAAGTAGATTCTCTGTGGAAACAGAGTCATGGGGTTGGGCAGGTTGTTTGTAAAGGACTTAGGGCCTGTATTGTTCTGATAAGGTATTCTTGTCCAGAAGACTTGTTTGCAGAATCACGTTACTGCTGGGGTTTTTATCAGACTTCCTTTTACTTTCTTGTTCTCTTTCTACCTAAAACTGTGTATTTCAGAGTTATAATATAATGCATAAACATTTATGTATTGTGATTTTCCTAAATTTCACTTTTAAAACTTTAATTAGAGACACATTCTCCCTATGTATCCCAGGCTGGCCTCTAGCTCATGATCCTCTTACCTCAGGCTCCCAAGTAATAGAAGACCAACAGGTTTAGACCAACATGCCTGGTTTGCACTGCGTAATTTTTTTTCATCTTTTTTTTTTTAATTTAATAACCACATGGTTAGACGAAGCATTTCATTACAGCTTTAGCATATTCAGTAACAATTTCCAGAGCAAAGATACATCTCTTTCAAAAGTGGCTGTAAATTTTTAGGTTCACAGTTGAATTAATAGTTATACAATATTGAACTCAGTATAAACCCTGTAAGATATAAAATTTAATGAGTTTTTAACCTTTAAAGAAGATGATATGGTATTATATCTAAGAGATGCCAAAAATTCTACCAGAAAATGCCTAGAAATGATTAACATGTTCAGTAAAGTGGCAGGTTACAAAAATTAATCTACAAAAATCTGTACCCTTTCTGTATACCAATAACAAGCAATCAGAGAAAGAGTACATGGAAGCACTCCCCTTCACGATAGCTGCAAAAGAAAAAAAAAATCTCCGAATAAACCTGACCAAAGACATTAAAAACATCTACAGTGAAAATTTTAAATCTTTAAAGAAAGAGATTGAGGAAGACACCAGAAGATGGAACGACCTCCCATGCTCATGGTTTGGAAGATTTAATATTGTGAAAATGACCATTCTACCAAAAGCCATTTATAGATTCAATGCAATGCCAGTGAAAATCCCCATGACATTCTTCACAGAATTGGAGAAAACCATCCTAAGATTCATACAGAAGTACAAAGGACCTTGGATAGCCAAAGCAACCCTGACCACTAAGAGCAATGCTGAGGGGATTACATTACCA